TATGAATCTACATTATAGAAATTATGAATCTATTCCATGATTACCATGCGCATGGTGAACACGGTTCCACAACATAACTATTGCCATTTGTTTGGTGTAAAAAAAAAAAAAAAATTAATACTCAATTTTGTCATCGACTATAAGGTCTTTCTCAATTTAGTTCCAATGACTATATGTGTTTAATTAAGTCTTCAATTGATGATTTTATTCAATTGATTCTTATGTTAAGATAACTTGGTAATTTTATCTCTATTAATATTCGATTTAGTCCTCAATCATAGTAGTTTAACCCAAATTAATCTTTAATTATAGTGATTTTACGTTCTAAAAAAAACTATAGTGATTTTACCTAATTGAATCCTCGACAATCTTTGCAGATCAGTTCACTTAAGAGCTAATAAATTGTCATGTCACAATCCCTTGTCTGGCGAGCTTAATGGGGTTAAAATAGTTATTATTAAGTTATCTTTAAGAGTTTTGAGTAACGACAAAATACGCAATCACTACTTAAAAGTGTGCACTAAACTAAGTAAATAATTTCACATTGTGACTCTAATATTATCACATTATCTTGATTGTTCAATTTGTGGTGAATCCAACACGTTAGCACTGACATATTATAAGTCGTGATTATGCATACCATTCATACCATGCATTAACTATGGGAATGGATATATTTTGACACCACAGTTCGATGAATACGCAGCCCAGACATATTGAGGAAAAGTCTTCTCAAATGGTTGTGTTGTTTTGTTATTTAATTTAATTCTTTGTCGTGCGAGCTATCAGTGTGTTGGATCAATCCATAATTTTTTTATTTTTTATTTTTTTTTTTAAAACACCTACAAATCAATCTTGCTGCTCTGTGCATTGACTATTGACCAGATGAGTGCATAAAGGCACATGTCAAACATAGATTTGATGAATGAGATTTTTTTTTTTTTGGAATGCTTGATGAATGAGATTTAATTTATCATGTATCAATTTATTTATTTAACTACGAAGAACACGGATCCATTTTGATTCTACCAGAATTATAAGTGGACTCCACATATATTTGTACCACATCATCTTAAAATTGTCATTTGATATATTTTAAATTTTTTTTTTATATCAACACCAACTTGAATGATGTAAGATAGTTAACTGAATAACCATAAAGTTTCAAAGTTGACTCGCTATAGGAACTGTCTATTGACTTTTTTAGTTTAAAATAATCAACAATGCACCTTCAATAAACGGTTGTGGACTTTCAAAGTATTGTAAACTAATAGCAAAATTGAATTTTATATTTAAAACAAAATGATTACATCCTGATACCAAAAGTCCCTCTTATGCCCATGTGACTTGGTAGAAAAAATGAATTGTGGGAGGCCTTCTTAGTTTAAAATTGTCACTCAGTCACCAACACGCCTTTATGTAGTGGTTGTGGACTTTCAAAATCATGTAAATTAATAGCAAAATTAAATTCTATACTTTATTTAAAAAGTAATTACATCCAAATATCAAAAATATTTATGTTGCTCATAAATTACATGATGCCTTTCAATTGTTTACAATTTTTTAAAAATACGTGTACACTGATACTTACAATTCGTGATGATCAGCGAACTATAATTCTTCAACCTGTTAGATTGGCCAACCACCCATAGTATCCCGGAACATTGAATTTTATGTGTATAATAAGTATAAGTACAGATACAGATCAGAGCTTTCAAGGAAATAAATGAATAATAAATAATTGTCATATGCAGGAATAATTGAAGAACAGGGAGTTGAAGGCGACCACATCTCCTTTCCTATCTAACATGGATCTGAATTAATGAAACCATAAGAGTTGAATGAATTATTGGTGAGTCGTGGGCTCAAGTCCTATCTTGTCGCATTCCTCAGACAACAACCCAATATACATTCAAAAAAAAAAAAAAAAAAAATCTTAAAATCTTTTAACAATGTTCAATTTTAACCAGATTTTACAATGTTTTAAAACATTGTACCCGCAATAGTATATTATGCTGGGTGATGTCATTAGTTGTATACATTAAGTTTGGGGCTATAAATAAATTGGAAAATGAAAATTGTATATCGAACAGTAAATTAAGTTATCAAGTGGAACCAGGACTATGTGGTCTAATGGTACCCGGGTTGGACTTCCATTTGGAAGGTTATGAGTTCAAGTCTCGGTAGAGGTGTTATTGATTCTTTGTGTTTTAGTAGGTTGAGAAAGTATATGAACAGATACTACAATGTAATAGGGCCAGTAACATTAAAAAAAAAAAAAAAAAAAAGTTATCAAGTGGAACAAGAAACATGTTTGATGTTAATTATTCAAATTAGATATTAGGATCCTAATATCGATATTACTACCAACTAATGATTTTCTTGACTGATTCTAGGCTTGCTGCCCAAAACAAGCAGACAGCGCCACAACTTTGTTGATATACTCTTTTGATTTGATAATTAAACAAACAAAAATATTTTAATAACAACAATAATAATCGCAGTTGCTTGTACTATATAGTTATTAGCTGTCTAATTGATGTGTTGAATTGATAAAGAGATGTCCATTTCATGTATTTTTGTTTATTTTAATTTATAAGGTTTAGTCTATGTGGGTGTATCGTGTAACACGTATGCATCCGTAAATTTTTTCATCCATTTTAATATGGAGTACGATTTTTAGGTTAAATTGTTATTTATTTATTTTTGATAAGAGAAATAAATCGTTATTATTTGATAGTGTACACCAAGTTTGATTAAGAAAATATTGATAATAATAAAATGAGTAAATACCCAAAATGGTCCCTCGACTATAGCTAAATTCACAAATTGATCATCGACTTTCAATTTCAACCAATTAAGTCCTTAACTTTGCAATTTTGACACGATTTGGTCCTCCATCTATTTGGCCGTTTATTGACCGCGATCTTTGAGGATATATATGTATTTTCACGTGCAAAGCTCAAGAGAACACCCTTGGAGGTGACATCGTTGTTTCAAAGGGGGGAAGTGCTTCTCCGCTTGCTGCTTGGGGATCACGAGCCGGTTCGGCTTAGAGAACGCTCTTGGAGGTGACAACGCCATTTCAGAAGGGGGAAGTGCTTCTCCGCTTGCTACTTGGGGATCCCGAGCCGGTTTAGCTTGTCTACATCGCTTGGAGTCACGGCTTTCTCGAAGAGCCACTCCAGGGACATCGGCGATCTATCTATCAAAAGCTCTGATCTCTCCGGCATAGGGTGCAGTGCCGGCAGTGGATTCAAATGTAACAGCGCGGTCTAAAAATACAATTGGAACCTTAAAAAATTGTTGATGGACCATGAAATTACATATATATCCTAAAAAGTGCAGTCAACAAACGGTCAAATAGACAAATGACCAAATTGTGTTAAAATTACAAAGTTAAGGACTTAATTGGTTGAAATTAAAAGTCGAGGACCAATTTATGAATTTAGCTATAGTCGATGGACCATTTTGGGTATTTACTCTAATAAAATTCGTGACATTGTAGTACAAGAATCGTGCTTCATATACTTGTACACCCCAAATACAAAGATTAATAGTCCGTAGATATTTTACGAGAATACAAAGATTAAGGGGGTGTTTGGTTGGATGAAAAACATTTTTCATGGAAAATGTTTTCCTAAAGGTGAAGGAAAATGATGTTTTATGTTGTTTGGTTGGATGGAAAACATTTTCCATTGGAAAATGTTTTCCTTGAGAACGAGGAAAACAAATTCCTAGCTCATACTAGGTATTTTGTTTTCCATGGAAAAAGTTTTCCATGGAAAACTAATATGACTATTTTACCCTCCTCATTCTTTATTAATTACTCTCATTATTATTATATTATTATTGTTGTGTAGGGTTATATTTGTCATTGTAATCATTATTCTTTACCATTCCAAACTCAACCAAACAATGGAACTCATATTCCCAGTAATTTCTTTTCCACCAACCAAACAATGGAATCTATTTTCTTGGAATTTATTTTCCATGGAATTTTAATTCCACTTCCCTTCAAATATTTTTCAGCGAACCAAATGAGCTGTAATAGTCCGTAGATATTTTACGAGATGTTGAGACACCTAATAAATCATTCTAAATCAACAATTGAATATGTGAGAGAAGGCATTCAAAAATAATATATGAGAGAAGAGTGTCGAGAACCATCATACCTCAGGTTTACAATGTTTACATTGAATATTCTATCTACATGATTCAAATCAAATTGGTACTTAAAATGAATTGAAAATCGACAATTGCTACGACATTAAATATGCAATTTAGCCCCGCATTAGGTATGACGGGTTGCGTTATCCCCGACGGAGATTTTCGATTTCCGCCCCAACGAAAATGGGAATGAAGAAAATTTTTGAAGAACGAGTACGGGGACGAAGAACATAAGTAATTTCTCGTTGAGGATGGGGATACCCCTTCCCATCGCACTCTGTCCTCGAATTATATATATATATATATATATATATATATATATATATATATATATTACACTAATTTAAGATTTTGATTAAAAGTTGGTTGAAAATCGGATATTTCCGTCCCCGTCTAATTCCCTGCGTGGATGGGGATAGGGCCGTTCGGTTGTCATCCCTACTCTACATGCTAGTTTAAGTGGTCGCTCACTTGACATAAAATCAACACATAATGACAAGGTGAGGTTCAATTCCCTCTAATAACATCTTAAAATTATGACTAAATTGAAGATGAGCGTCTAAAGTTAACAACAAAAATTGACTAGGAGGTAATTGGGAGATTAAAAAAAATGCAATTTATGCCCTATAGTAGAAATACTATACGTGAAATGGTATTATTCCGGCACGACCCATTTAATTGTGGTGTCATTTTTTGCCAGGGCAGATCTCATTCAAAAAGAAAATAAAATAAAATACAGAGTATAAAAAAAGAAAAAATAATTAAAAAAAATGATTTACAAGGCATATACAGATATACGGGAGTACTATAATAGAGTGGAGTAGTATATACATCATCATCATCATGATTGTCAATTTACCATTATCATCAGACAAGAAGAAAATTATAGCTCCAGCTCTCTTTCTCTCTCTTCTTCTCTCTCTGATTTTCAGTTTTTTTCTAGAACGTCCCTCAATTTTTCTGGATTTCGATCTCCTATTTACTTTTTACTTCTCTGTCCAGTTGTTTTTCCCTTTGCCGGTATTCCCACGCAGGAATATATGATGTATGCGAACAAGACTGTTCAATTTTTAGATTTGGCGTTGCGTATTTGATCATCGAGATCGGAAAGCATTTCTCAAAAGATTCGAGCTTTGGATTCTGTTTTGGTTGCCTCTTAATATATAGTACTAGAGGAAGGACTAGGGTTTGACGGGTGGTGAGATTGGGAATGGGGGGAAGGAATTTGGGGAAGTGAATAAGGAATTGGAAGAAGTCAAAGGCTTGTTGTTGTTGTTGCTGTGTGTAGACGGAGCAGAAAATGCTGTATCTGAAGCAACCTAGTTGGATGATGCGTGTGGGGCTCTGCGTGTGTACTGGTCGTTAAATTGGGAATAGAATAGTCGGAACTCGGAGTTGTGAATGCTGGAATAATTGATTCCCGAGCCCGGTGGTTGGCTCGGGGAGTTGTTTATTTTATTTATTTATTTTTTTGCGGGTGGGATCTGGTGAATTGAACCACCAATGGCTGCGTCAGAGAACGAGCTGCCGCCAACTCCGCCCCAATCTCTTCTTCTTGATGGACAACAACAGCAGCAGCGGGAGCCGCCGCCGTCGTCTCCTCCGGCTCCACCTTCTCCGCTTCCGGAGGGCTTTATGCAGAAATTTCGGCTCTATGAAACTAGCTCGGTAAAATAGTTTTATGCTCTAACTCCTTTTTAAATGCTTTTTATGAATTTTAGTTGGCAAAAAGAGAGTCTGTTCTTAGCTGGAGCTAGTTGAAGAGTTTTAGTAGTTCGAAAATGGCCTAAGATCAATCACTTGATTTAGCTTATCCAAAATAGCATCTGTGCATTATTTCTTGAGTCAAAATTCATTCTTCTTCGGATCAATTGTAGACAAACTGTTAAATGCATTTTGTAAGGGAACTCAAAATTCACTCTTATTCTGCGATCACTTTGCTCCTTTTTTTAGTTTTAATTTTTTTTTATAGGGGTGGTTTTTTGAGGGATGGGTATTAAAGATTGGTTTGCTGCAATGATCCACTCGATATTATTTGTAGAAAGTTTTCACAATTGGTAGGATTGATTTAAAGTCAATAGCTGGCCTTTAGCCCATAGAACAGCTACTATTGGTTTTGATTTGCTGATTTTGTAGTCAATGTAAAATGCTAGTAACAGGCTCACAAACTACTACATGTGTTGAACGAGTTGGTCAACATCATAGAGCCTGGTTGGTAAAACAAATTTACTGGATTGTAATTGTATATGTTATGCATAACTTCTCTTTGAATAATGTCTTTTGGAATTTGGACTTCATTCAGTAACATGAATTACTTTATTCATCATACAATTCTTGCTGCAGAAATTCTACATGATAGGCAGGGACAGGAGTAGAACATACTGGAGAGTATTGACAATTGACAGGATGGATCCTTCTGAGCTTAATATTCGTGAAGATTCTGCCACCTATACAGAAAGGGAATGCTCTGATTTGTTGAGAAGAATACATGAAGGAAACATGTCTACAGGAGGGTTGAAATTTGTCACTACCTGTTACGGGATTGTTGGTATGTGGATTCTTTGGGTATAGTTCTCCAAAGCAGAAGCATTCTGTCACCATCTCAATCCACAGTTTTGTCTCTTGTTTTCAGGGTTCATCAAATTTCTAGGGCCTTATTATATGCTGCTTATTACAAAGAGGAGACAGATTGGCGCCATATGTGGTCATTCCATATATGCGGTCTCTAAGAGTGAGATAATCCCACTGCCAAATTCTTCTGTCCGGTCCAAGCTGATTAATAATAAGAGTGAAAACAGGTTATACTCTCTCTATGATACATGCACTATTTTGTTACAAGTATTCTGTTTTTTTTTTTCCTCGCCACTGTAAGCTTTAGAGTCTGTTTAGCCTTCCCAGTTTGGGGAGAAACCTACTAACAACATTCTGTTGAGGGTTGCAACACCAACATCCATACTTTGTATGGCTCAGGAGGCCTTTATTGTCTTTGCAACAATCTATATCTTATACTCTTCTTTCCAAGTTGGCTTGGATTCTGTTATTGACTGTTTTAATTTTCCTGATTTGTTCATTGTGCAGGTACAAGAAGCTCCTATGTATGGTGGATCTTACAAAGGACTTCTTCTTCAGCTATTCATACCATGTAATAAGGAGTTTACAAAAGAACATGTCTGATAATGAGACAGGACAAGTGGTCTATGAAACCATGTTTGTCTGGAATGAATTTTTGACTCGTGGAATTCGGAATATCCTTCACAATACCCTCTGGACAGTGGCACTGGCTTATGGATTTTTCAAACAGGTGATTATGTTTGCTGCATCTGTAGCGTTTTGGATATGATCAGTCAACTAATTACTATGCTAAATCAACTGTCATCTGGAAATTATTCTTGGTCTTTAGGGCGGCTAGAATTTTCTGCTAAAACTTTTTTTATTTTTTATTTTTATTTTTTTAAAATTATTATTATTTTTATTATTATTTTAAAGTTATTATTCCTGCATTGATACTACTTCCTATTTGTGTATTGATCCTGCTTAATTAGTAAAAGAGAATGTTTTTATCTTTGAGATAGGAGTTAGAATTTAAGGTATAATTATGTGAACAGGTGGTTCTCACTGTTTATTGCATCTGGTTGAATGGACTTGTTAACATGACTTGTCAATTTTATCATTTACCCAACACTTTGTTTTACAATTTTGTAAATTCCATGGATGTTGATAAATTTATCCTTGGTACAGGCTACCCTTTCGATATCTGGGCAGGACTTCAAGTTGGCACTCATTGCAAGACGTTCTAGGCATTATGCTGGCACCAGGTCAGAATTAAAATGTGCTTGTGATGAGTAATTGGTTACTAGGCTTACAAGTTGTTGCTATAGATTATTCTATTTTGTATTCTTTGACCTATCTTGGTCTATACTCATTAACTGGACAGTTTGTGGTTCACTAATCTTTGTTGTTCATTGCTCTTTTGTTATTTAATATGGCAACCATCACTTAAGTTGTAATGATGATTGGTACCAGAAAAAAAAAGCAATCTGTTCACAAATTCATCTATACTTATTCCAATTTTTCTGGTTTATTGCCTTGTTCTTATTTAGATATCTGAAACGAGGGGTAAATGAAAAGGGCAGAGTTGCAAACGATGTCGAGACTGAACAGATTATATTTGAGGATGTTCCAGAAGGTTTTCCCATGCAGATTAGTTCTGTTGTCCAAAACCGTGGGTCAATTCCGCTCTTTTGGTCACAGGAAACATCACGCCTCAATATTAAGCCTGATATTATATGTATGTTCTAGCAACTTCATGATACATGTGTAAGCTTTTGAAATTAGTCATTTTTCACTAACATTTATCTTGTTCAGTGTCAAAGAAGGATCAAACTTATGAAGCAACTAGACTGCATTTTGAGAACCTTATCAAGAGATATGGGAACCCTATAATTATTTTGAATCTTATAAAGGTGAGACAAATTCTTATCACCTAACTTGAATTTTTTTTAAAAGGAATTTTCATTGTTTACTGAAAAAGCTTCATTTTAATGGCCATGGTTATGCAAATTATTCCAATGCTTTATCAGCCACAGAAACTGTTTGCTGTTTGGGTTGGAAGAATACCCTTTCTTCCATCCACCAAAGTCACACTAATTTTCTTAAACTTGCACATGGCCAAAAGACAAAAGGGTAGCAAATATCTAATTTCAACTCTGTTTTTGATAGACTCATGAAAAAAAACCCCGGGAGTCCATTCTTCGTGCTGAATTTGCCAATGCAATTGAATTCATCAATAAGGATCTATCTGAGGAGAACCGGCTTAGGTTCCTTCATTGGGATTTGAACAAGCACTCACGAAGGTATTTTGGTTTTCATCTTGTTATTTTTTATGGTCTTGTTGAAATTTCTGATTTTCTAATGTCATTTTTCTTCTCTTTTTCTCAGAAAAGCTACAAATGTCTTGTTTTTTCTGGGGAAAGTGGCTACATATGCATTGACTTTGACAGGTTTCTTCTACTGTCAAACAATACCACCCTCAAGATCTGAAGGATATTTGAAGGGACCTTGCCTTGAGTAAGCTTTCTCATCCCTTAAGATATTGTTTTCACATAAAATGCATCTAGACATCCCTCTATTGCTTGTTTACATTGAAAATTTGTACTTATTTGTGAGGATTATATGGACAGGAATACTTGTGCCAACACAATCGACCCATTAAGACATTCCAACACGGATAATGAGAAATTTAGTGATGATGAATATGGTGACTCAGATACCTCTAAGGGAAAATCAAATGGTTGTGACTATGTGGCTAATGGCAATCCTTCCATTAAGCTCCCAATGTTCCAGAAAGGGGTGCTGAGGACAAATTGCATAGATTGTTTGGATCGAACTAATGTGGCACAGTATGCCTATGGTTTGGCTGCTTTGGGCCATCAGCTGCATGCTTTAGGAGTTACAAATTCCACAAAAATTGACCTTGATGATCCGTTGGCTGAGGACTTAATGGGCTTCTATGAGAGAATGGGTGATACCCTTGCCCATCAATATGGTGGCTCTGCTGCTCATAACAAGGTAAGTGAAGTCATTTGTTAGCCAGTAGTAATCAGTTCACTCTATTAAATACTATACACCTAGTATTTTCTGTTAAGTATATTTTGGTGGGCTGTTTACTAACCAAAATCCAGTCAGTATTTTCTGTCAATTCTAAGTGAATTGGTTTATTTCCTTGTTAATTTCGAATACTTACCTCCTGCTACTGACAACTTGCTTGTTTGTTGTGGTCCAGATTTTCTCTGAGAGAAGGGGTCAATGGAATGCTGCAATCCAATCACAAGAGTTCTTTAGAACTCTTCAGAGATACTACAGTAACGCTTACATGGATGCAATGAAACAAAATGCTATTAATGTGTAAGTTTGCTGTCGTGTAATCTATTTATTAACTGTTACAACATTTTTACTTGTCTGAGAAACCTTTGAAGATGTTATTTGAACATTCTCCAGATGTTTCTCTGCCTTTCTGAAATGCCTTAAATGCTAGGTTTTGTTTAATATGTTTGTAAAGGTGAATACATTTTCTGTTTAGTTATGTTTCAACTAATCTTTGAAATTCTTGTTTAATTGTATAATCAGATTCTTGGGTTACTTTCAACCACAAGAAGGAAATCCTGATATTTGGGAACTGGACCCTGACCAGCATTACAATGTGGGTAGGAATGGGGAGTCAAATATTGATGAAAATGGAAGGTATGTTGGCAGCCAAATTTGTAACTTTAGGGATTTTAAATTCCCTTCCCACCTAATTCTAAAGACCATTAAATTCCGTAGTTTGGTTGGAAGGAATTGCAATTCCCCCATTTTCATGGAATTAAAATCCCATGTCCCCCTGGTATTTTAATTCCTGGGATTTTAAGAAGAAAAAAAGATAGTGATGAGTCAAAATTATCCCTTCCTTTTTTAACCTAAAATTAATGCCTAACAACAACAATTTACATTTTTGACTTTATACTACTTATTCCTTTTCAATTCCCATGTATACCAAACATTGGAATTGAAATTCCCAGTAATTATATTCCTGTAAACCAAACACTGGAATTTAAATTCCCACTTTATTCCCAGTAATTCATCTCCCATGGAATTACAATTTCTTTCCCACATAATTCCCTCACTCCAACCAAACGCCCTGTTAGAGATTTACTCTTTACAGGGCGTTTGGTTGGAGGGGGGGAATTATGTGGGAAAGGAATTGTAATTCCATGGGAGTTGAATTACTGGGAATAAAGTGGGAATTTAAATTCCAGTGTTTGGTTGACAGGAATAGAATTACTGGGAATTTCAATTCCAATGTTTGGTATACATGGGAATTGAAAGGGAATAAGTAGTATAAAGTCAAAAATGTCCATTATTGTTGTTAGACATTAATTTTAGGTTAAAAAAGGAAGGGACAATTTTGACTCATCACTATCTTTTTTTCCCAGGGATTAAAATACCAGGGGGGGACATGGGATTTTAATTCCATGAAAATGGGGGAATTGCAATTCCATGGAATTGCAATTCCCTCCAACCAAACTACGGAATTTAATGGCCTTTGGAATTAGGTGGGAATTAAGTGGGAAGGGAATTTAAAATTCCTCCAACCAAACGCCCTGTTAGTTCTTACCCAACTGTGGGAGAAGGGCACCATATTAATATTGTTCATAGCCCACTAGACTTTTATCCTTTCTTTCCATGGTTTTTCTTGCATGCATTTTGGCACTGATGGGTAATATTCATGCGCTTTTACAATAGGTCTCTATTCAAAAGGTCATTGTCTGATGGGAACGTTCTTCGGCAAAGCTGCTCACCCATGCCAACCCAGAACTTCGAGAAGGATGTTTCTGTCTTTACTAATCAGTCAAAAGGAAATAAAGTGCATTCTGAATCTAGCCCGGAGATATCAACATGTGAAAGTGATTTGTCATATTCTAGGTAATTCATTTTGTATGACTAATTGTAACACAACCTATCTACAATATCTTTAGGTAAGTTATGCCTGCAGGAGAGTTTTCCGAAACTTAATTTTGGATTTTTTCCTTGCTCAGATACACACCATCTATGCCTGCAAGGGAGTTTTTTGCAGAAATGCAAAGTGATAGGTGCCTTGATCAAGAAAATGGAGACGGCTATGACTGTTCAAACTTTGTTGACCTAGACTGGCTTTCTTCTTCTGGAAATTCCTGCGAGGAAGAGTTGCTGGAAAGGTAATTAGTCAGCAGCATCAGACAGAGGGTGTTTTTGTTTCTTCCTTTACTTGATTACTTATGACTATTGGTTATACATTTCTTGAAGAAACAAGTTCTTTTGTTGCTTGGTTGCAGGTCAATCTCCACAAACTCTCCCACTGCTGGTCTGTCCTCAGATAATATTGTCAATGAAATCGGAGAAACAACCCCTTCAACTAGCGAAGGAGAATCTAGTGTCAAGGTCAGTTTTTATGCTATATTGCACAGTTACAAGCATACTATCATCAACGCCGTTTAGTTACATACTAAAACAGCATGTTTAATATGGAAGTATATGTATGTTCACTGCTCACCCTTGGTTAGTGATATTGGGATTTAACCAGTTATCTTATTTCCACCTTTTCATGTGAAACAAAAAGGTTTGGTGCATCAAATTGTTACAGAATACAGAGTTTCGAAGGAGAAAATTAATTGCATTTCTAAGCTTGTTCTCAACTATTCTTTCTAAGAATATAATTGTTGATCCATCACTGTAATTTAGCTGTAGTTGAATTGCAATTCAGTGGATGCCTCAATTACATTGTTTGGTTGGAGGGAATTGCAATTCAATGAATTTGAGAAAGGAAAAACATATGAAATGACAGTACTACCCTTGGTTGTTATTACTATTATTATTACACACAAGGGTATTTTAGTCTTTATACCACTTATTTCCTTCTTAATTCCAAAAATTCTATTTCTCCCTACCAAACAACGTAATTTGAATTCTTACTTTATTCCCATCTTATTCTTTTCCCACTGAATTACAATTACTTTCCCCCCTAATTCCTTCCTTCCAACCAAACGCCCGATGTTACCTCTCCTCTCAAGTTTCTTCATCTCAGTTTGAAACATTTTTACCATCCGCCTTTCATTATTCCAATGTAGTTTGCAAGAAATAGCAACACATGTCAAAATCTGCAGGTTGCCACGGTTGTGTACTAAGCAAATGTATATGGCCACTGTATATTTGCAGGGACGAGGACAGGTGAGAGCGGAGGAGCCCTACAATGATCCCCATAGTTGCGAAGTTCTCGAGGAATTTTCAGATAGTTTTGTACGCTGGGTTACCTATGGAGAGACGCTTTGTCATTGATGCAGATTTTAATGGTTGTAGCAGCATTCATTACACGGAATTGGACTACAATCCTATTCTTACTGATGCTCACTGGAGACAATACAAAGACGGGCACCAAAGCCGGGCGAAGAGAAGCAGTTGTTGTAAAGCAAAAGCCGTCGTCTAGTCCATCAGCAGCATTAATTCGACCGGGAAAATCCCGGTTGGGCGAGCTTTATACTATAGTACATAGTTCACAGTTCTATAAAATTCTTTCAGGAGCCTTTTCCCCTTTCTTTTCCTGTTATCTTTTTTGTGGACTCTGTCATTTCCCCATGTTGTAAATATACATGTTTTTGACAGCTCCACTTCACAGCTTCAGACCAATTGATTCTTTTACATGTGACTAATTTGAAAGTTGATACTGCAAATATTTGTGTTAGATAATGAACCACTTAGCTACATGTATACTTGCGGCGATTGGTTTGGGTTATCTCTTAGGAATGTGAATATAGTACTATCAGATTATCTTGTTTGGTTTAAGAGAATGTGAGATTATTGTAGGGATTGTGAACCTTATAAATTTTTATTTTAGTTTATTTTTGGTAGCTTTTATGAAAATCACATTTCTTCACATTCTTAGGTCATGTGAGATATTGCTATGGTTTTTGTACAATAAACAGAGCGTGTCTCCCTTTTGTTACATGTGGTCAGTCTTTATATTTTAAATCTGTAACGGTTACAATAATGATAGCAACGGTTTCCTAATAACTGGCACTGTCATCCATAATTCCTATCTTTGATGAGGAGGTGCTCTTAATGCGTGAGCTCTTATAACTGTTCTACCCATTTTCTGTTCATGACTGTTCTTTGATGGGTTAGACTTAGACACACCGGGGCGGATTTAAATACTTTGTGCAATTATTTATCGCCCCATAAATGTCATTTCTTTATATGCCATTGACATTAATACACACTTCATATAATACGAAAATCGTAGATATAGAGGAATCTCAGCTAAGATGACTAATGATACAAATTTGTAACCACAATATCACAAGTTTAAATTTCAGCCCTCTTAATTTGAGTTGATCAGCTATGAGCAACTTAGACTGGTTTGAGCTTAGCGTGTTTATAAATTAACTAGAAGCCTAATTAAAGAAATGAAAAATTAGAAAAAATAAAAATAGAAAATGCGTGTACAGACGCAGCCTTAATCGTTAGGTAGAATTCATAATCTGCGAATAAGTATAGATCTGCACAATTTGGATTACTTGTTATGGATAAACAGGAGAAAAAATAACATTGTGCGAGTCAAGATCTAACATTCTTCTTTCCTTTTGTGTGGATTCCATAGACCTTCTAGAGTTACAGCACACGTTCTCAAGACATTTGTCACTGCACGAATCATCTCTTAAAAACCATCCAAACAGAATTTGAACAAAATGTCGAATTTGAGCTTCTATAAATAGGACCAATAGGGCTTTTCATAAACCTTGTAATACCATGCTTGCACATTTTATCGATTCCATAGACATTCTAGAATTCAAGCATAAGTTCCCAAATGGTTCTTTGATTGAGTGATGAGGGAATTTCACCGTCACGCTTCAATTGTGTGTGTATGGTAAACTCTGCTCTTATGTAATAGCATGCAAATCACATAGAATAGATAAATCAAGACAAAAAGTTTTTTTTTATTTTAATGTTTGGTTTGCCAAATCACACAGAATAAGTAGTGACTATGGATAGAGTTGTCAAAACGAGTTAAGTATGTCGATTCGTCCAGGGCACGCTTTGGCTAATTACAGGAGCTCGCCAAGCGAATTGCCTAGGTCATATCTTGTCCCATTTTAGCCCCGCAAAACTAATAATAGGCTTTAAACCACACCTCACTAAAGGACAGGCCTTAGCGGGCCTCTATGCCTCACCCCACTGACTCATTTTGAATTTTTTACGGCTTTAGTTGTGGATTTCATCATTATATATATATATATATGGTACCATCGGGATACAGTGGTCATGAGCTCTTTAAAAACCCCCTATATATTAAATATTGGTGATTTTGAGCCAAGTAACAAAAAGAAAAAAACTGTAATAAATCACAAGTTTTGAAAGGAAAGATTAAAAAAAAAAATGAAGTAATTTTCAGAGTTATTTTATGTAGAGAGTCGTGTCTTATGCTACAAAATGAAAGATGCCCATAGCAGAAGCAAACACACAATCGCAGGGGAATCGAACTAATTATAGTAATGATGCCGGCCATTGAGTGCCGCCAATTTCACTACGAAATGGGTTAGTTCAGATGTAACATTCTCTTAATCAGATAATCACATGATTAAAATTAATTAAAAAATCTATATTAGAAGTTATGATGATTTTACCAACTTTCTTGTTATTATTATCATCATCATCATATATCTGCAACTTGACCAAGATTAGGATATTGCGTCTCAACTTTTCCTTAAATACATCTAAATTCATCACGTTCTACTTTATTCATCGCCCAAACCTTCTCTTTAACAATTGATCCGACCAAATTTCAACGAAAATTTGTTAAATCTACCACTATAAACACCAGACTAACCATTATAACGTGTTAGCTTATAAAAGTAGAAAAATATATTTTTTTTCTCGATTTTCATTTCTTCAATTTTTCATTCTCATAACACAAAATATCGAAATCATATAAAATATTTCTTCTATTTCTTTTTGTGCTCAGTTCTATTAAGGATGAATTGACTCAAGTTAAAGTAAATATATTGTGCCAATCAGCTTCAACATTTTGTACAAGAAACAAACTTAGAGCTTCTAATATTTACTTTTGAATTGTACTACCCTTACAATCAACACCTTAAAATTTGTTTAAATTTATTAATTATGAGCTTAAAATTTTCAAATATTAAACAGTAGATCTAAAGAAATTCCCAACAACCAACAAAAAAATTACTCGTGAAAAGTCCACGATCAGTACTTGAAAGTGCATATTCAGTGAAATTCGTTTTGTGACATTAGCTGGCAAAGAACCCCAAGGAAGTAAATCAATTTAACTTGCTCATAGCTGACTAACTCAAACGAAGAAGGTTAGACTATGAGTCAAACCTGCAGAGACCTCATTATATCATTACCAAGCCAATTCAATTATAGAGACCTCACCGTATCATTACCAAGCCAATTCGACTGAAGTTGTAAAAAAAATAAAAAAATTGTACTAATAATATATGGAGTTCTACTAGACTCGCAAATCATACTCTCCAAATTTTATTACTTGATGTGGCGGACACTGATATGCTACATTTTTTATGTGGGTCCCAATATAAGTGTTTACATCAAGATTTTGCATGTGAAAGTAAAAATAAGAGTAGAAAATAGAAATAAATGTAATATTTTCCTAATATATGTAGTAGATGGTACCTCAAATAATTCACAATAATTCACAAACCATCCAATCAAATGGTCAACTGTTTTCTTACTTAATTTAACGTTTACCTGCGCTCCATCTTGGTTTTATAAAAAGTGAATATAATATACCTGCACAAGCTAATGATGACTTGGCCTGGCAAGACTCTTATTAAAGAGCATCATTATCCTTTTGTATAAGTGATATTTTCTTCCTTTTTAAAAATAAAATAAAATAAAAATTTATGTATATACATTAAAAATTTAATATAACGGATTATATAAATTTAGGAAAAGTAATACCACACACAGCTGTAAAGTAGTAAGTGGTGAATACCATCAAAGAGGTAAGAAAAAAAATTGTATTTCTAGCTGTGAATAAGCCAAAGATGATGTTGTCTAATTTGATGAGTTTTTATGTTGTTATTTGAGAATACACACTAGGTAAACTCTGTTCTTGTATAATGATCCACAAATCACTCAAGAAATTGTGAAATTAATTGCTTCTTGCAAGTGAAAATGCAGTCTACTGGATTACATTCTGCACTAACCATCTAAATGGTGAGGAGGATAAAAGCTCCTAATCCATCTAACTATGTGCACAACAGAGAATCATAAAGATGCATAACAAAGATATCTAATGTTTGGTAGGATTGAATTACATTTTTATTCTTACAAAATTGTATGGAATAAAAATTCTATTATTTAGTTGTAGAGAATTATAATTTCCTCCAATTATGGAATTACAATTCCTAAGATACCAGGAATTACAATTCGATTCGACATGCTGTGGACTTGTACTTCCAGGGTAAATTATAGTTTTGTCATTATTATTATTATTATTATTATTATTTAAAAGTATTTTAGTATTTATTCACTTTTTTTTTCCAATTTCCAATAATCCTATTCCTACGTACTAAATAATGGAATTTGAATCTCCGTCTTATATTTTTCATATAGAATTATAATTCTTTTCTCGCTAATTCCCTTCTTCCAAGTTCACACATTCCATACATAAAATATTGTTTGCATGTGATCTCATTTAATAATTAATCTATCCGTTCAATTTTATTTGTCTGATTCAATTAATGAGATTTGACTGAAATTATTTTTAAATCAAATTTTAATCATATTAAAGTTTAGTATTAGTATATAAAATTTATATATTAAAAATTAAATTAAAGCACTATTAAAATAAAAATATCAAATTTAAAAATATTTAAAAAATAAATAAATAAGAAATAATTATTTTGACCAATAAATAATAAATAAGACATGTTTTGAGTACGTTTGACCAAATCATTAAAAGAAACTTTAAGTTCCTCCAAAGAATTCAGTTTCAAATGTGTGAAACAGTCTGCGAATCAAATTTTCTGTAACATTGCTAGGGAAGCTATTTTTAAGTCTAACTATAAAAAATGTTTGACTATTCTATCGACTCTATTGACGTTTTAGCCTATGATTAATAAATTAACTTCTTTATTTAAAAAAATAAATAAATAAGACATTTAAAACAATACAAAGAAAAATACATACTCACACGAAATTACTCTGAATAAACCATAATTAACATATGTACGGATTAAATGGGATTTTACCAAAGAATCCCAAATGTTGTGAAATTAGGCAAGCCAAATACAGCGTCGAGATTTGTAGCCGACTGCCCGCAGGTCGAGGGAATTTCCCTCCGGCCTCCGGGCGCCGGAGCATCCAACGGCGTTTCCAACACTTTCATTAAATCCGTTGTACTTCGACTGTCAGAAATGCAAGGTATATCCTCGGAATATGTATTCAACACCAAGAAAACTACCAAACTAGTACTATATCTGTACAAAGAAAACATGTTCTATATACAGCTGCAATATATATATTTTTATTATGCCTCAATTTAACTGTTTTACCCACTTGGAATTTTATATTCTTGAAATTTCAACTTTGAAAATAAATATGTCAATTGAAAAACTACATTTTTTAAAAAAATTTAGTAATCAATAAAAAATGAACGCTCCACCATACCCAGGTAGGCCATATATTTTGACCATAATATATGTAGGATAACTTTTTGATTTAAGAAAAATTTGTAACCGCTTTTTGAATGTGTATCCGTCAAACTCGTTTTGTGAT